CGTAACTTCTATATTCCTATGAAACGCGCTCGTTAAGGAAAATGATTAGATTTAATTATTATTTTCAGCTATGTTATGCGAATAGTTTTTCGAAAACGTTTGATCGCCTCGATTATTACGAGTATGTGAAAATCTAAAACTGAAAAATAGCCGAGTATCGACGATGGTGCCTTTGACTTACTGCCAGACAAACGTTCTTACATTTTTCGTATGATTTCGAGCGATTAATAAAAGTATACTATGTATTTTAGGAGAACAGTAATCGCTTTTGAAAATTGCAAGTTCTTGCGATGCACTTCGATCTTTTTGTTATTTCATTATCATTATTTCATGTTACTGTTATAATTAGCGGATGCAACTTGAAATTAATAGTGCTCGCAACAGCAGTAATAGTAGTAGTGGTAGTAGTAACACTTTTAATTGATCGAAGCTACTAATATTCAATAAACAATTGTCTATGAAATTGTTGCTAGTTCTACTAATACTCTTTACTCATATTTTTGCTGACATTGTTACTGTTACCACAAGGTATTTTACTACTGCTGTAGCACATACTCTTAATAATGATATTTTATATACATATTACTTTGTACCATATTGTGTATTATTAATTTCATTTTAGATACTAGTCTGTATTAATTATATCATATTCCGTCTTTTATCCTTTCTTTTATTTGATTGTCATTTTTATTAAAACTATGTATCTTATTGTCGTATGTATTGTAAATAGATAGCTTATCATTCCCTTATTTTTCTAAATAAGGTAATCACTATCAAAATCCAAAAATCTTTTCTTAATTGATACACTACATATCATTATTAATTTCTACCTGCTTATTATTACCTGCTACTATCGTTATTAATAATATAATTATATCATCAATGTAATTATTTTCATATCCTATCAGTAAATAATCTGTAAATGAATTATTCAACAGCTGAAGATGATGAAAAACGAATAAAGTAAGTATAAATATGATGAAAAAATAATACAATGATTACTGCACGGAAATAATAAAAATATAATAGTTTTTCCCTAAACTTCAAATTAAATTAGTTTAGATTCTGGAATGCAAATGAAGTACATACATACATACATGCGTGTACTTATTTCCCGCACATGTTTCCGCGTGAATCGATTCCTACATTTACGTTCATAAAAGATATAAAACTCCAACGATGGAATTTATTACTCTAATCTATAAATGAAAACTCAAACTCACAATATATCCTTACCGTATTCGATAAATACGACTGTAGACTGATTTATGCAACGAAAATAGATATGTGAAATGAAATGAAGAGGATTCGTTGTTAGAATAATGGCGCTAAAATCGCGTATCTGTCTGAGAAATAGCTATCAGCGATAAATGAAACAGTTGATATCAATTTTTTTATCGTCTGTCACACTTGAAGGATCTACATCGAGTTTAGTGATGTGTTCTAAAATCAAAGCAACATTATAATCTGGAATAAACAATTGCAACTGTTGCAAGGCATTCTTTCGAATGATTCTTTTTGTTTAACAATTGATCGAGAAATGTTTGTTAAACGATTGTTACTTTCGACCGTTGTGTGATACATGTGGCTCAATTCTGTAATAAATTAATGGGGAATGAAAGGAGTGCCCTTAGCGGGCTAGAAATCGACGAGAAACCGGTTCAAATAACTGATTTTTGGGCCCATTATTTGGCCCGCGTAAACGGTCATAATGTTCAAACCATTTCGGTTTTTGTCAGTGAACCATTATTGCATTATAGTGCAAATTTTGGAAATCCATCGCCTCTACAGAAGGCTGCAAAGGTTAATGTTAATGTATCGATTACCTGTTACATTATGTACAATCTGAGTCGAGCATATAATAAATTTTATTAATAACAATATTTATGCTTTTCTCTATTTCAGAATCTAATGTTATATAGACATCCTTGTATATTGAAGTATGTTTCCTCATGGTCAAAAGGAAGCAAGTATTTTCTTGCCACTGAACAAGTTAAGCCTTTGATACAAACGTTAGAAGCTCAAAGTACATTACAAATATGCATGGGCATGTGCAGCATTTTACGGGCATTAGTTTTTCTTCACCAGAAAGCGTCTCTGTCTCACAACAATATCTGTGAAAGTTCCATTTATGTTACACCAGAAGGATCGTGGAAGCTCGGTGGACTGGAATGTTTGTGTAAATTTAAAGAATTAACTTCTCATTTGAAGAAAATAAGGAGTTACAGATATGAAAAAGCAATATCTTCTGAGGAAGATGCAGCACTCACCTCCACGTGTTTCACATCGATAGATGCATATGCATTTGGGGTATTAGCCGAAGACATATTAAAATTAAAAGAACCAGGTGTGAAATAATTTATTGTTTATGGTTTATAGAGATTGTAAACAGATTTTGATAGAACACGTGTCCCATTTTAGGAGATGTTCCAGGTCTGTTAGAGTTTAAACAATTTTGTAAAGATAATCTGCAAAACCCAGATCCATCTTTAAGAAGCGACTTATCCTATGTACTTCAACATTCATTCTTTAATCATGACTTTATGAGGATATATGCATTCTTAGATGAACTACCTCTGAAGAACAATCAAGAGAAAGAAGTATTTTTTGAGTAAATATTCTTACTAAAAGAAGACAATTATTTACAGAGTAACTATACGTATAGACGTTAAAATATTTTCATCTTATTACAGTAGTCTAATAACGCAATTAAGAACGTTTCCTGAAAATATAGTTGCCGAGCAATTAGGTCGATTATTACTCTCAAGAATGGTTTTATTGGATACAACAGCACAGAAACAGCTTCTACCATTTATTTTGAAGCCAAAAGGTGAATAGTCTTTAATGAAATTTAATCTGTAACATTAATCAGGGCTTGAATGTTATTTTATTTACAGATGGAAAGGATAGTACAAATGATAATTTATTTACTGTTTCTACGTTTAAAGTTTACTTGGTACCAAAACTCTTGCAGATGTTTTGCATACGGGACGTGTCGATACGTTTAGTCCTCCTAGCGCACTTTAATTCATTCGTTCACACTTTCCAAGCGAATGAGTTGAAGTCCCAAGTACTTCCCGAATTGCTTGTCGGAATTAAGGATACAAACGATCATCTTGTATCAGCGACGTTGAAAGCGTTAGCCGATATAGTTCCAATTCTGGGCGCTGCAACTGTTATCGGTGGAAAGAGAGGAAAATTATTCACGGACGGACGACCAAACAAACTAAAGGATAATAAAAAAATCGACGACGGTACAAGCATTGCTCAGTTTCCAATTTCAACGAATCTCGTCGAGAAACCAATCAACCTTCCCGAGAGGCCGTCTCCTGACGGTGGTGAGGACAAGAAGGAGATTGCTTCCATAATTATCGACGAAGAATACACATGGTCCGATTGGGACATTCAGGAAACCGGAGATGCGCGAGTTTCTCGGCATTCTGAAACGATACCCAGCAATTCGGATACAACACCAACCATTGTTACAGATTCTATACCGAGTACAGATAAAACGAAAACTGAGGCAAAACCAAGGAAAGTAGCTGTTTTATCTGATATTTCAGAGCTTGATATTAAAAATTCAAAATCGACTGACACATTAAAAGAGGAATATGATTTTTTCACGGATATGGAACCGATAATAAAGAAGACACAGATTTTGCATATACAACAATCAGAAGTGGTATCGAATAGTGTGTTTGACGTAAAGGTAATAAATGCAGAAACGGGAGAAGGAAGTAACTGTTGGGAGGAAGATTTAAGTGACTGGGGAGTAGAGGAGGCCCAAGATGTACAAACATAAAAATATGTATATAATTCTCTAGTGTGCTTTTTCTATTCAGGAGAGTGAGGAGTCAGATAGAATTCGTTTTATTGCGAATAAGATATGAAGGGATCCATTCCTAAAAATGTGATTTGTGTAGCCACAGCATGTCATGTATCTATATGTAAATGTATTGCCGCTTTTTAAGATTACACGAATAATTTATGTAATGTAAATTTCATAATAAATATACATGAATATTTAATACCTACATTAGTATTTATTCATCATTGATTCGTATAATTTAATATAGAAAAAGTTATTTCGCTCTGATACGGCCGAATTTTTCTAATTTCCCACCATTTCTTCAAGTGTAGAATTATATTTTAGTGCATATATGTACAAAACGTGAGGGCGCAACAAGCGCCTGAAGGGAGGAGCGGGAGGAACGTTGAGGAGCGTTCTTTTTCTACGTGGAGCATACGGGAACGGTGTTCCACCTCGGGATTTTATTCTATTTCTTATAATAATGGTAAGCCAGATTTATTTAAGATTTGTTTAATTAGGTAAACAAAATTCCCAATTATTTGTGGAAATGATTGAGTAATAACAAAGATAGAGGATGTATGGAATTCGATTGGATTTGGATAATGATGTTCATTGTCGCGACACGAGTTCGTGACGATATTACTGCTTCCATAAGTTCACAATTCGGATAATACATTATTAAAGAAATTCAATCGTTTATCTGTTTGTATTATTAGAAGAAAGGTCTCGCTTATTGACTTTAAGACCGCATTTTAATGTATGTGTTTGTGAAATAACCAACGGAGACGATGTGGTATAATATATAGTAATATAAGCCTTTGTAAATAAATAGAATTATACACTTTCAAGTGATGAAAATCTAGCTCACTTTGATAAAATGATAACATTGTTTCCTATGATACTGATCGTTGCATAATAAGTGAGATGTAAAACACACGGGAAATGGAAGTCTGAACATACTAATGTTTTTTTTTTAGGGTTTCGTAAAAGTTGTCAAAAATAAACAGTACTTCAAACGTTATCAAGTTAAGTTCAAGAGGAGGCGCGAAGGAAAGACTGATTATTATGCACGCAAAAGATTAACCATCCAAGATAAAAATAAATATAACACTCCTAAATATAGGTTGATCGTACGATTATCGAACAAGGATATTACTTGTCAGGTAAATATGCTCAATTATATAAATACTTTCTTTGTCCAGTTGCTATATAATATGGTATGTACATAGATTGCATATTCAAGAATCGAAGGAGACAGAATTGTGTGTGCTGCGTACAGCCATGAACTTCCAAAATATGGTGTTAAAGTAGGCCTTACAAATTATGCTTCTGCATACTGCACAGGCTTACTTCTGGCTAGAAGAGTAAGTATGTTCATTCAATTCTATCATAATCACATAACTTCTTAAATATTTATCAAATGATGATACACTCAGCTCGCTTTGATGTACAACTGAAGAGAATTAATTGTTCCCTATATTATAATTCTGATTTGATAATAATAATCATTATTAAATCACTGAAATCGTTTACACCTTTTAAAGATGAAGTTCTCTTATGTTTTTCCATAGTTACTGAAAAAGTTAGGACTGGATACCCTGTACGCTGGAACAACAGAAGTGACCGGTGATGAATACAACGTTGAAGAACTGGATGATGGTCCTGGAGCATTTAGGTGTTACCTGGACACCGGACTCATGCGTACGACCACTGGTGCTAGGGTGTTCGGTGCGATGAAAGGTGCCGTTGACGGCGGCCTCAATATTCCTCATAGGTATTCATCAAATAATTGTTACCACGAATAGAATTCCAAAACGAAATTTAGTCAAATCCTAGCATTATGATGATTTTCTGGCACATGCGCGTCATCTGAGTCACCGCAAAGCGTGACTTTGTATCTGTGTTCTACAGTGCAACGTACCGTTTTTGCAACGACGTAAAAAGATTATAATCGTGTCTCTGATAATACAGAATCGAACATTGTAGTAGCACAGACACTCACATGACGTAAGATACTTCATGTATACATGTTTTGATAAATAGCACCAAGAGGTTCCCAGGATACGACAGCGAGTCTAAGGCTTTCAATGCCGACGTCCATCGGCAACACATCTTTGGCCAGCACGTGGCCAATTATATGAGGACGTTAGAAGAGGAAGATGACGAAGCCTTCAAACGACAATTCTCGCAATATATCAAAAATGGTATCACAGCTGATAATGTAAGTGTCCATAAACATTGTTTGCATTCGTCCAACTTATAATTACTGCAAGAGCTGACGATCTTCGCAGTGTCGCAGTTGGACAATATAATCACATTGGTTTTCAAGGATAAATGCATGAATTATGGCATTTTCAGTTCAACCTATGTTACATTTCACTTGCCAATAATGTTTTTTTCGTTGTTATTAATAAATACGTACATTCTGATTTTTAGATCGAGGGTATCTATAAGAGCGCTCACGAAGCTATACGCGCGAATCCAGAACACGTGAAGGTCGCGAAGGATAAGGTGATCGTGAAAAAGCGATGGAACCGAGCGAAACTTTCTTTGTCCGAGAGAAAGAATCGTGTCAACCAAAAGAAAGCTTCTTTCCTCAAGACACTGGAAGAGGTGGAAGCTTAATTTCGTTTTGTATCAAGGTTCAGGTACAGCACATGTTCAGTGTATATACATCGTGTATACAGTGTTCACCTGCGTGTAGACAAAGTTTTGGTACAAAAATAAAGACCTGCGATGAAAATTTCAAATTTCTTTATATGCACGAATGCAAAGTCGATCCTAAGTAATTTATTTAAAGATACAGCACACGATAATAATTATCTCAACATAAATATATGTCATGTGTCACAAATATAATCTTGAATTTATATATATTTTTTTATATTATTTTTCACTGTCTTTTATAATGCATAATAAACACAATGTTCATTGTTCGTATTTGTACTTACGCGTTACATTCGTAAATATAAGTGCCTACGCACATACGTAACAAATTTAACGTTCAAGAGTGGTTTCAAATTCTGCTTTGAAATATTTAATACAGATCATAAATAAATTAAAGATCTTTCTCTGATATGGAATTTAAAGTATAAAATTTTAATTCGAGATTAAGGTGAATAGTTTACGTATGGCAAATACTTTTTACCAACGAACGTGCGATCCACGAAATTAACATTTTCTATCTATTAACGAAAAAGCGACAATCTACTTCGAGAGCCAGGCAATCGACCCTGTTCGTCGACTAATCCAGCTTGAATGTCTGCAATGGAAGGTACAGCCCTTACTTCTCCCCGTGCTGCTACACTGGGTGCCGATTTGAGTAAACGACACGCCACTCGTCTTATATCATCTTTTGTTATTGCATCTGCAAATAAATATGAACATAAACAAGAGATCCTCCTACATTAAATTAACAAATGCACTGGATAACGTACCAATTGCCTGTATAAAGTATTCTGGTCGTTTCCTGGAACCAGTGGCTAAAACCTGCCTTCCAATATCTTCAAATACAACGGGCCTTTGCTCCAAATTCATAAGTAACATAGACTGCAGTTGTTTCTTCGCTCTCTGTTATCAAAGAAGTACAGTTTCAAGATATAAGACCAAATAGATGGACGTATACTCTTACAAATGTGATTAAACATTATAAAGGAAGTTATACCGCTAGCTCGTTGTCCGTAATATTGTGCGCCATAGTGACCATCTCATGTACGATCACTTCTACCATATCCTTCACGTGGGACGGCGTACAAGATGCATGAATGTAAAAAAGTCCTGTGTCAGCGTATGCATGATTATACGCTGTTGCACTATACAACCAGTGATATCTGGAAAATGATTTTCTCTCAGCGATACTTGTTCTTCTGGCAACAATTGTTTAAAGCCCTACCTGTTAAGTACATTCGTGTATAAGCGAGTGTACATTCCCTTTCCTGGGCCTCCAGCACTAAAACTATTGCCACCACCCATCATCATATTCAAAACGCACATGGCTACAAAATCTGGATCTTGATGAGAACATCCCTCCAAACCTATCACTGCATGCGATAATTCTGGCAGACCACTCGGCCCTGCGTACACAGGAACATTACAATCTTCCTGTAAGGAATGATAGAACTTTCGTTTATCAAACTACAATATTCCTTAGTTCTTGTATTCAAGTTCAAACGATACTTACAAGCATGTAACCTCCTGTGTATTGAGCAATCGACGTGTCGACCATGCTCAAACGTTTGTTTATCGAATCTTTCTCATTTCCTCCTTGCGTCTGTTCCTCCTCCTCCCATATAGATTTTTCTTCGACAAAGTATCTATTATATAACAACGAGTTTAATTCGAAGATGATCCTGTTTAACAATTAAATTATCTATTTTAATAAATATTTTACTCTTAGTTACTTTTGAACCGCGGAAATGAGATCTTCATGCTTTATACCAACTCCGGCCACTACCATTCTTTGAGGTGTGTAATGACGTTTCAAGTATTCAAGCAATATTTTCCTATCAATACGCTCGATATTGTCCTTTGGACAAATCTTTGGGAGTCCAAGAGTATTATTTCTATATGCAGCCTGAGGATCAATTTGATTTAATTATATAATTCTCAGATTTCTTTTTATAGTTCCATCTACTTACTGCATGAATCATATCCATTAGTATTGGTTCCTGTTCTGGCCTCGTGAGTAAAGACTCCAATTCAAACTGAATCATTTGTCTTGCAGCACATACCTAGAAATTTTAATCTTTAATACCAAACATAAAACAATAGTGGATTAAAATAATATAACACAGCAACTTCTGTACCTCGTCGTTCGTAATTAAAGGCCTTAAAACAATGTCAGCTAAAATCTGTACAACAGTATTTAATCCATTACGTTCTGCAGATGCTGCATAAACAAATGTGTCTCTGGATGCTTGACAGTCGCATATCCCTCCATGTTTCTCTAAAGCCAACATTATTTGATCTTTGTTCTTATAGGATTTGGTAGACTGTAAGAGTAAATTACTGTTTTTGTTTTATTTCTTTTATCCCTGGAATATTAAAATTTGAAATTGTATTATAAATATCTTACTCCAAATGCCAATTTCTCTAAGAAATGTGAGATACCACTGGGATATGCAATCTCATATCGGGGGCCGGAATCAAGCAATACTGTAAGAAAACATTAGTTTCAAAGAAGAAACTTCAAAGTTTGTATCAAGTACAGCATTTAAACTTACCACCTATCGTACAGAATTGGCCAAACCTATTTTCAGACGCGACTTTCAACCCATTTGGTAAAACTGTCACTTTGGTGACCTGATGTTCTTCTTTAGCACTAGCATAGACAGCTTTAGGCAAATTAGGGACAGGTTTGGTCAACGGAGGAAACGGTGTAATGATTGAATTTCGTGTTAGCTTGGTGGGTGCATTATTAGTGGCTAAATTACATTTATGGAAAAGGGAACAAGTCTTTCTTTGCACAGCACTGTAAAAAACATTATTACGTTTAATGACAGAGAAATTAATTATTGCCAAAGGTATTCAAATCTCACAAAATTTTCCCATGAGGTTAATGCAACAAAGGCTTTTATCACTGGTGTTTATATCGTAAAACTTTTTTGTTCTCTATAAAAAATAGTTACCTTTTTGTAACAGCAACTGTCAAAGAACTTTGCGTCACTTTCATCAACATTTTCATCTTATTATGTCTAACGAAACATTTAACACTTAAGTTTATCCGTCGGTGTCACGATTCGGAGTACTTAGGTATCAAAACGAAACGACCGCATGTATTTCGACAAAAACAAAACTAACCATAATAGTTTTCTATTCTATTCAAGGTTCTCCGCATTAAGTACACGAACTTAGATGCATTTCGATAATAATTTCAGATATAATTATATGCAAATCAGTAGTTTCATTCTCTTCCTTGCCGTTGGTAGCTTGAGTATCCCTATAGTCTGACAGTTTTAAAATTGTTTGGCAGCTGAATGAAACAGTTAAGTGCGGCAAGTGCGGTGAAGTGCGGTCACGAGGAGTTCCGCGTTACTCTCGTGAAAAATGTCGAATTTCCAAAATGAATATAAAAGAAAACCGTCAGGTTTTGCGAACGTGGGCGAGCAACGCGTTTTTCGGGCGATACAGCATGAGAAGGAGCGTAAGAAACAAAGGGCTGCGAAGTTCGATGGTAACCGTAACTTGATGACATCGGACGAATCGAATCGGATAAGGAATGAGGGTTCGTAAACACGCCGATGTTATTCCATTTTTATATGAAACAAAATGATTTAAATATATTGAATCGTCATGAACACGTCAAATCTGCAATTTACTGATTATATGGATACCAGTTCCCTTACTGTTATATCAATACCACTGTAATTTGATTACAGAAGTACCAGTAGCTATCAAGCCCGATCGTGCAACTAAATTTTTGAAGTGGAAGCAGGAAAAAGAAAAGCGGAAGAGACTTGAGCAAACTAAGAAGAAACCATTCGTGGTCGGTGTAGTACACCATAAAATATATTCCCCAGTTGTCAAAGATTCAAACGATTCAAAACCAAAACCGTGCTTACACCAAATGAGACATACTTATATACCTAAACTTGATCCTGTCCCAAAGAGAATTACTAAAGCGACAGAAAAGAGGTTGCAGAGTAAAGCAGCAGAAAATAAAACAAATACAAAAGTTCCGTTCAAAATGCCAACAGCTATCAACAAAGATAAGGAAGATAAGAAATTGGAACAGTCCTTCAGTGTTAGCAGCGTTAAAGTTAAATCGACTGAGGAAACGCCTGTACGTTTATTCGGTCGAGTGACCATGGAGACCATGACACCTGTTCCAAGTAAATCATTTAAATCTCCGACCGTAGAAATTTCAAATCTGAATAGCAGTATTACAAATGATGTAATACAGCCAGATGATGCATCAATGATAGATGCGAAGAATTATCTTCATTGCACTGAAGATAGTTCTATAGAAGCTGTTGCATTGCACTTGTCGTCTGATGAAAAGGAGACACTTAATCGCGACAGCGGTGACGATAATAATGAAAAGAAGACTAATAACAGCATTATAAGTAATAGGTTCTTGTCGGATTCTCTCTGCGAGCCGGTCTTTTATTCGCCTTACGTAGTTTCCAGCCGTGGGAAAGACAACGCAAGGAAGGAACAGCAACTGAAACGTGGTTTCAGTTTAGGTCGCTCACCGAAAGATGATATTCCTACAAAAGAAACCGTCATGCAGAATTTGAATATTTCCATCGAAGATGAGGAACGTACGGCACAGTACTTCCAGTTCCTTTTGAACCGGGAAATAGAGAGATTGAACGAGTTATGCGACAAGTGGGCGAAGATTCAAAATGAACCGGAGACCACGGAAGATGGCCGATACGAGATAAATCAGGCTATTGGCCAAACGAATTTGTTGATGAATAAAAAGTTCGAGAGATTCAGGAGGCTGGTCGCGGATTGCGAAACAGGCAAGGGAGAAATGTTGGTCACGTGTAAAGACTTGCAAGGATTTTGGGACATGATGTATATAGAGATAGAAAATTGCGACGAGAGGTTCGAGAAATTAGAGAAGTTGCGTGCACTGGGATGGGAACAGGTCGAATCTCTTATCAGGAAACCAGTTGTTAAGAAGAGGAACGTTGCGAAGAAGAAAGTTGCACCCACGAAATCGAGTTCCCTCAGGAGTTTCTTGGCACGGAAAAGAAACATGGCGATTGAGACAAAGAATGTCGAGTCGATAGAAGCTGAGTCTAAACCAGAGAACAGCGGAAACAGAAGCATCAACGACAAATTTACGCGAAGATCTTTGTCGACGAATCCCAGCCCGGTGAAATCTATTAGCAAACGATCGAGTTTATTACGAAAGGTACAGCTGTCCGAAAATTCAAAGAAGATAAAGAGCCCATTGATGTTAATGAAGATCAGTCAAATGTGTAAAACGCCAGTGGTCATGCTGGACGACACGATATCGTATATTAATTCTGATCAAACGCCTGCGAAGAGTATACTCAAGCAATCGAAGAATTCCGCTGAGACGGAATCTCGAAAGCTACCAAACAAAGTTAACTTTGATGATCAAGTGATATTGAACGATATACCGGTTGATGAAGAGACTCAGGTAAAATTGAGTTTGGCAGCGGCGTTGACCAGAATAGACAGCTTGAACCTCGACTCTCCGGATGAATTCGTTTTTAAAGCAGAAAGGAAACTCAATTTCGATGACAGCTTCGACGAACGTAGAGATAACGACATTACACCGAACAACACCTTAAGTAAATCAAGTTCTGACCCAGAGGAAACAGAAAAACAGCCGCAAGAATCGAAAAGAAACCGGAACACACCAAGGAGGGGCATCAGAAGGCAAAACGCCGTCGATACAGACGTTGAGAAATTAGATCGAACTGGGATTTCCTCAGATAATATAGAAGACACTACTTCGTTATCGCACGCTCGTACCTCGGCGCCGTTTACAGAAATTAAAGGCGATGTAAATGCATTAGAACAAGAACAGAATCTTGTGAGCGAGAAGGGCGAGACGAGTGAAAACGATGGAAGTATTCGGATCCTGAGAAACAGAACCATCGCGCCGTCCGATACAACCAGTGCTCGAAAATCGAAGAAAGTCAATATACAGGAGCCAGAGTCGAAAGAGAATGAAATACCTCAAAGGAAGAGGAGAAGTTCTGCTGCGATTAACAGCAACAAAAATGAAGAAGTTAACAAAGTTACTCCAACCGATAACGGATTAGGAGGTACCAAGAGGAGGTCTACGAGAAACGTGAAATTCTCAGGTAACGTAGTATTAATTAAGGGAAATAATTAATATGTTAATCTTGGAATGTATTTAAATTGAATAAAAATATATTTAATTGCAGAGTCAGAGGACAATAATATAATGAATAAACCAGCATTACCGATGACTCCCCACGTTAAAAGCAGTAGGAAATCTAGCAGGAAGTCTCTAAGCGTGGATAGCTCTCTGTCGTTGGAAATACCTGGGAGACGTAAATTGTCTTGATTATCGTGAACACTAAATTATACCTAAAAGTTACATTTAATACGTTTCATTTCAGCTCCAGAACGAGTTCGAAGGTCTCAAACGAAAAGATCAACAAACACACCGCAGATTGACGCTTGAGCTTTTTATCGATGATCATGCATGCGAACGATTAAAGTTTTGTGTTGAATGTTTTACCACTACGACTTGTTATGCTCTTTTATTTTTTAACTTTAAAATATTTGTATTCCGAATATATGTTCAAGAGTTAGCATTTAATGTTTCAGGCTATAATATAGATTTGTTAAACGAGAAACAGTGAAATCTATATAAGCGGTTCCAAGACTGTACAGTATAATATGTTAATAACACCTTTCAGTGCGTTATAGGCATATATCTTTGTAAAATTGATAAGAATGCATTTTATAATAAAGATCAATATTAGTATAAAGTCAATAAAGTATAATGTGATAATAAATGTAATAATAAAGTATAAAGACTGACTGAATATATTTTTGTTGTTCTAAACAGAAATGAAATGATGGGTACGAGGATGGTAATCCTCATGGTGAAAGAAAACCAAGATGTACGAGTATTCCTATAACTGGTATAGTGGTATTAGGTATAGTATACTGTGATACAGCCATAGCCATTGAGCTATATAAAATATATTAATACAGTAGTGGGGAGAGCACGGGAAGAGGAGTTAGAGGAGAAGTCTTTCATTCTGGCCAATTCTGAGTAGTGAGACTGACAATGAGTGCCACAATTCTATATAGGACATTTGAATAGGTAAGAATAGATAATTTGTTAAACTATAATATATGACATGTCATGAAACACTTTAGAAAAAGAATCGATGTTTCTCAAAGTGTTTATTGAGGAGACGTACGCTAATGACAAAAAATATTTCTGTATCTTTCAGTAAGACTTTGGGTAACCTATATATCGGAGAATGAAAAATATGAGCTCGTATAAACAAAAAACTAATAAGAAGAAACGGTCAGGTTTGAAACCAACTGAGAAATCTCGCAAACAAATACGTAAAGAGCAAAGAAAGCAGAAGAAAATTAATAGAGTGTTGTATTTCACGAAGAGAAAAGAATTACATGCACGTGCACGTGGGCTTGATGAAGGAGTCGACACTGATCATAAACCAAATGACGATGAAGTAGTTAAGAAAGCAGTAAGAGTTCAGAAAAAAATTGAAAACGATGCCACGGAAAAAAAGAAAAGGAAGTTAGAACAGCTTAAGCAGCAAAAAAGAAAGCAGGAAACTAAATTGCTTGAACAAGCTAATGAGAAAGAGGACAAGATGATTAAGAAATTGGAGAAGCAACTGAAATTGAACAAGAGGAAAAAGAAAACAGTACCCAAGTCCTTTGTAGAGGATGGTTTAGATTGTATCCTTTTTATTCTACTGTTCAAATATTTATTTATAATTCTCAACATACATTTTTATACATTGTAAACTATGCTTATTTAATTGTTAGAATTTCTTTAACATATCTATAGACCTGTTAAATTTTTGTCTAGAGAAAGATAGAGCACATCTTGCAGAAACAGAGAAGGAGCTAATTGAAAATAACTTTGAAAATGAAATGCATATTGGTTATTCAGAGATAAGTAACAAGTCGAGTATTGAGAAAAGTGAGGACATAGATTTAAGCGAGAATGACAGTAATGATGGGAATGATAGTTACAATGATAGCAATAGCGAACAGATGAACAGTGAAAGTGAGAGTGAGAATATCAATGAAGATGAAAATAACGATGATCAAGAAAGGTCGCCAGGGAATAGTGTCAAGGCGAAAGCTAAACAAATAAAATCGATGCAGAATAAAGATGGTAATGATACTAATGACGACAATGAAGACTTATGGGAAGATATCTATGGAAGAAAAAGAGATAAAAAAGGCAATGTTATACCATCTACTAACAAGTACATTCCACCAGCTGCAAGAATGGCTCCACAAGATATGAGTTTAGATAATGAAAAATTGCTTTCATTAAAAAGGCAATTAAAGGGCTGTTTGAACAGGGTTACAGAACATAATATGCACAGTATAGCAAATCAGGTAGTTATATGTTCAAACATTATATGTTGACTTACTGTATGTAACAGAATTATGTTTACACACTTTTATAGATAGAAGCGATGTATATGACGAATAGCCGAAATAGTATGAATTATTTATTAACAGAATTGACGATTGAAAGTTTGGTATCGTATGTAATTTCACCGGGTCGTCTTATCTCCGAGCACATGATGTTAATCGCGATTTTACATGCTAATATTGGTATCGAGGTCGGTGCTAATTTTTTAGAAAAGCTCGTTGTGAATTTTATTAAAGCTTTGGAAGAATCGCAGGACGTGGAGAACAAACAACTGGATAATATGGTCCTCATGATTTCAAATCTTTATAATTTCAAAGTATGCACATCTTTAAAACAGTAATCTGTACTGAAATAAATCGATCGTATTAATATTGCTTAAATTATTTTCGACAGGTCTTTGGATACAAGCTTCTTTATCAGATACTCGACAAATTGATGACAAGGTTCACAGAAAAAGAAATTGAATCAATATTGTTGATTTTGAAAACAGTGGGATTTTCATTGAGGAAAGATGATCCAATTGCTTTGAAGGAATTCATACAGAACTTGCAGCGGAAAGCTAGCCACGAGGACGGAACGAAGTAGGTATTCAGTGAATAAAAAGCAATGAAAGTTCATTAAACAAGTTGTCATTCTTTCTCGCACAGTTCAAGAGTCAAATTCATGTTAGAAATTCTATTGGCAATAAAAAATAATAATATTAATAAAATACCGCAATACGATCCTTCTCACGTGGAACATTTGAAAAAAGTTATGAAAAGCGTGATCCGTAAAGGGAACACGGTAACGCAATTTAATGTATCTCTGGACGACTTGCTACATGGTAAATTATTCAAACATTTGGAATAAACTCTCCGCGTACCGATTTTTTCCTACTGGTATACATTCTTATTGCAGCTGATGAACGTGGAAAGTGGTGGATCGTAGGATCTGCTTGGTCTGGATCAAATAATGTAGATGACAAACCGAATGTGAGGCAACAAACTACGTTTAATTTTGGTGATAAAATTATGAAATTGGCGCAGAAGCAAAGAATGAACACCGATACTCGAAAGAACATCTTCTGCGTCCTTATGACGGCCGAAGATTATTTGGACGCATTTGAAAAGCTTCTTCATCTTGGACTGAAAGATCATCAAGAAAGTGAAATCATACATGTTTTAATGCACTGCTGCTTACAGGAAAAGAAGTTCAATCGCTATTATGCTGTATTGGCACAAAAATTGTGCGAATATAATAGAAAATATCAGGTATTATACCAGATTTGTATGTCAATATCAGAAGTATGCAAAGACTAATTCATGCTTTAATTCAGCTTACGATACAATATACCTTTTGGGACAAACTAAAAACTCTAGAGTCGTATGGACACAATCAATTGAATAACTTAGCGCAATTCTTAACTCATTTATTCATCGAAAAATGTCTGGCCTTATCAATCTTAAAGGTAGTTATTACAATTCTTCATTAATTTTGAAATATATTGCATATCATTAATCGTATATTGATGTTACATTACAGATTATCCAGTTTACCGAATTAGATAAGCACACTATGCGATTCATTAAACAAATACTATTAAACATTTTTTTACATGAAAACGAACTGGCTTGTATGCAAGTATTTGAAAGAATCTCTATTTCTCCCCAGTTGGAGGCTTTTAGAGAAAGCCTTCGCTTATTTATAAGTTGTTTCTTGGTAAAAAATGTGGACTCGTATAATATATTAGAAGAGCAAAAGATGATGCTAAACAAAAGAGCCGAATCGGTGGACAAAATATTGACTACACACGGTTCTAGAGTTATATTTTAAATTTGATACACAAGTAAATTACTTTGGACTAATTTTCGGGTAAGCACTCGTGACATGGTTCAATCATAAATTTTAAAATAATAGATCGTAAATGGAGACGTTGAGTGAATATACTGATTATCATTATCTGAATACAGATTCTCATCGAGAGATGATCTACCGACATCAGTCCAGAATCCCCACGTTATGGCAAACGTGATATTAATACTGTGTACGAACTGTGATATTAATTGTAATTATTGTAATATTAAAAATCGTCAAATACATGCTTACTATGTATTAAAAATAACGAGAAGCACGTAACGATCGAAACACTTAACGGAATAAACATCGTAGTCCTACCTGTCTTTCTTCTTACGACAAGTAATTGGATTTTCTGTCATCGGTAATAATATTTGAAAATATCGTCCCGATGAGTGGACGTATAATTATGCGATCTTCTCGTTATCGTTCTCTTTTATATAGAAGGGAGTTGTCGCGCGTTCTCCGTCACGAAGGAGGGACGCTAACAGAGGTCAGTGGCAAGGACTGTTTGATTGTGACTCGTCTCAACATCACAAAACCGGATTTCGAACTCAACATGTGCATGAAAATTGAAATAATGACAAATGAAAACTGCGGATAGAAGTTCTGACGTAAATGCTTTTGCGATTCCTACTTCAGATAAAATTACGGATGTAATTTAATTTATTTATAAATATGGCTAAAACAGAGATTGTTTCATGTATTGTAATGTGTACATTTATGATTATTTAAAGTGCTTACAATCCAATAACAATTAAGATTCATTCTCGCGACGAAACAATAGCGAAAATAATTACCGTTAAGGGAAACTATCGGGAAAATCCTGTTATGTAATTAAAAAGTTATGTGAATATAAGTTGATACGTTTACGTACAATAAAGTTGTTATACTTCCATACGTACATATATTGAGTACAAGTTTCACATAGTCATTTATAAAGTAATTCAGTGCATTGAAAAAACGATCTGCAGGATTCTCTGAGGAAAGGATACAATAAAGTTTACTAATGTAGTGTATAGAACAAGTTTTCATGACGTCATTTGTAGGAAACGGTACTACGAGGTGACGTCACCTGCGATGAACAAAGATTGAAGAAACTGCAAAGTACATAACATGCTTTATAATTGTACCTATTCACGTACCGCACGACACTCGAACTAATAATAAAAAAGCTAATTCATGTTTTGTGAATACAAAAAGTGTCTATACACGGTCATAACTTTTAATGATATTTGTTAAACGGATTCTGTTTAAAATATTCATTTTTGTTGTTTGGATGAGTGGAGCATCAATTTCATTGGAAGAAAATTTGGAAAAACGATTTCCTATTTCGGTTTGAGCAGATAATTTCATATTAAAATTAGGTGTAAGTAATATTTATCATGTCTCTCAGAAGGAAATGTACCATAAATCTGTTAAAATGTTTTATACACGTGAAGTACTACGTTACAGTTAAATATTTCCGTATCACTGTTTAATCAAACGTTTCCTCTCAAAGTTTCACTGTTTGTCGAAAGTCTGCATGCAAAGCTTGTAAGCATTTTCGTACTTTGCATTTAGACCACCTGAACACCCGTAGCCGCCTAAGTGATGGATGCGAGCGAAGTCATCGCAGTTGATGATGCCGTCTCCGTTACAGTCCTAAACAAATCAAATACAAATTGTACATATACTGCATATATTGTTTGTGTGTGTGTCCGTGTATGTATATATGTATATACATATCTGATTCTGTAGATAATTTTAAATGTGTACCTGAGAATATTTCGTCATGTACCCTTGCACCGTACGAGCTGCACAATACGGGTCGTTTACACATCTTGCGTACACTGAACATAATAACAAGTAATTTTCATTATCTCTATCGTTTAATTCGGAACGAAAAAAAATTGACTCTCCAGTCGCGGGTCACGCGACCGTGTTCCAATTATTCTATAAAACTGCGTTTATCTTCAACGTAAATTCACGACCTCTTATCGCATTGCATTTTATATGTGTTCGTAAACATTAATTATAAGCAGAACATTTTTTAATATAGAAAATTCGCTTCGCCCGATTTGTTATACATGCATAAATCGTGAACTAATAGACCGTAAATGCAGAAGTTGAATGAAAATACTGACTATCTTTAGCATTTGGATTGTCGTCGAGGGACGGTTTACCGCCATCAGCCCAATAAGCCCATGTTATACGAAATGGTCCGCAAACCGTTTCTTCGCATCCGATCGTGACGTTGCATCCGGAAGCCGCTTCGCAGATACATCCTAGACAAACTCTTGAAAGGAGCGTGTCCTGTCCTGCCACTGGTACCTGTTGCGCTTTAAAAAATATAATAATCCGTTCATAATACATTTAATATACACCACGTTCGGCAACAGGACAATTAAAACGTAACATTCTAATATTAAAAATCGGAAAATACACGCTTACCATGTATTAAAAATAACGAAAAGAAACACGTAACGACCGAAACGCTTAACGAAGTAGCCATCCTAGTCCTGGTCGTCCTTTTTCTCACGGCAAGTAAGTGGAATTGTTGTCGTTGGTAATAATACTTGAAAATACCGTCGCGATGAGCGGACGTATAATCATGCGATCTCCTCTTCAGCGTTCGCTCTTATATAGAAGGGAGTTGTCGCGCGTTCTTGGTCGCGAAGGGGGGATCCTAACAGAGGTCAGTGGCAAGGACTGTTTCTTGAAACAGTTCGCTAACGAAAAACAAAATTGTGACTCGTCTCGACGCTAAAGCACTCGGAGAAGGTAGATCCTAACAGAGATACGAGAAAACGTATGCAACGTATACGTTGCAAAGATATATTTTTTTTACATATCTCAATCTCTGGTACTTAAATCTATTTTCTTCGGTATTTCCCGTAATTCCTCGGATTTCTTCTACATTTATGTATGAACGAAGTATTTTTAAAATATAGTGATACTTAAAATATCACGCATATTTTAAAATTAAAGGATTGCACTTTTGAAAACGTTAAAATATTTTTAATCATGTTCATATAAAAATTAGAACAGTACTCTACTACATGGTGAATTGAATACATTTTTTTGCTAGTTTTTATAACTATATTGATAGCATCCACTGGCAATTATATCCTTGATAAATTTTCTTTGTTTCCTACCAAGATCGTTTTAAGGCACGGCATGATTCCGTTAGGATATTTGTGGTAGTACAGAAGCTGAACCAAAACCGGATTTCGAGCTCGACATGTGCATAAAAGTTGAAATACTGATAAATGAAAACTGCGGATAGAAGTAGTGCGCGAAGTCTTGACGTGAATGCTTTTGCGATTCCTACTTTAGATAAAATTACGGATGTAATTTAATTTATTTATAAACATGACTAAAACATAGGCTGCTTCGAATATTATAACGTGTACGTTTCTGATTTCCCAAAGTACTTGTAATCCGATAACGATTTAGATTTATTCTCGGGACGAAACACAATAGAGAAATATATTACCGTTAAGGGGAACTATCGGGAAAATCCAATCGTATAATTATAAAGTTGTATTACTTTGTTATGTCAAATGCAAAGTCTAAGAAAAAGGATAAAAAGGAAACAGAGTGAATACATTGAAAGAGAGATGTGGAAAAATTGTAAACCAAGTCCATTTCTGGGGCAAGAAGCTGAAATAGATTGTTATATATATATAAACATTTGATATGTTTACGTAAATTCTTTTATGTTTCTATACATACATACATTGAACGTAACGAGTTTTGCATAGTCATTTATAAAAAAAGGCAGTGCAGGATGCTCGTAGGAGAGGATACAAGTTTCCTAATTTAGTCTATAGAACAAGTTGTCATGACGTCATCTGAAAGAAACGGCACTACGCGGTGACGTCACCTGCGATGAACACAGATCGGGGGAACTACGAAGTACAGAAAACGCTTTAAAATAGCACCAGATAGTACCTATTCAGGTATCGCACGATACTCGAACTAACCGACTAATTCCTGTTTCATGAATACATAACTTTTAGTTAAGTGTTTGCTATACGGGTTCTGTTTAATATATTCATTTTGATATTATTTGGATCAATCTCATTAAAAGGAAATTTGGTAAAATGATTTTCTATTTTAGTCTCAATTAGTAAGTTATTTCATATTAAAACTAGTTATAAGTGATATCTATATTGTTTCTCTGATGAAAGAAATGGTAGATACACCATGAAGCTATTAAGAGAGAAGGCAAAAGGATATATGTTTTAGTTAAAGCTTTACTAAATACGTGTATTATCACTAGAAATCGCATCAGTAATTCTTCTAATGCCATAACAAATTATATGTACAAACAACGATTATTTATTAAGTTTACATTAGAGGTAATAGACAAAAAACATTTATTTATATTTTATTGAATGAATCAATATCGACGGACTGAACGTAATCTTGAAAACTTTCTATCTGTTCGATCAAGTCATCTACCGATACCTTATCGTCTTCTATGACACACATTATCCTGAATTTATGAATTCCATAGCCCACTGCGACTAATTTAGCTGAAAATAGAATGTATACATAGAATTTGTATCCAGACGAAGTAAGATTTTATTGGAAAAAGTAGCAATAGCAACTCACATGCTCCCCAAACTAGACCATCCATTTCAATGGATTTCACACATTTCTCCATTTCGTTCATGTCAGTTTCATCGTCCCATGGTTTAACATCTAACACAACACTGGATTTAGCGATCAATGCTGGTTTCTTAGATTTTTTCTCTGTGTATGCCTTTAATCTTTCCTCCCTAAGCTTTGCAGCCTCTGCGTCCTCCTCTTCATCAGACTCAAACAGGTCCACATCATCATCATCATTTTTCGTCGTTGCTGCATTAGTAGTAGTAGTGGTACTTAAAATACTAGGTGCTTTCTTCTCTCCTGGTAGTGTCTTCAAATCGTATGATTTGATGTGATTATACCAGCGTAAAACGTGAGGGTTCGAAGAGGTTGGTGTCTTTCCTAATGCTTCCAGTACTACTACATCTGCCTGAGTGGGATTCCACCTGAAAAGTTTTAACAATATTCATTTCAATTATCAACGAAAATGATTGTTTCAGTGTTACATGAATTTCAATCCCTTTATATATATATAAACCGTTCATTCATATATTGATATACGAGTGAAGTGAATTAAAACGACTGACATCTTAGAAAAATGTAATTGTATCGAAACGGTTGAAAGTTTGAACAACTTCAAAAAGAAGAAGAATTACAAATTTGAAGTAAAAGACGGATTAAAAAAGATGAGAATTTGATGCCGACAGGCGAAGAACCACGTGCATTCCGATAAAGGGCATCGTACGGACAGAGGTGCACTCACCCTTCGATATAACTGCGATCCGCTAGATAGGTATTTAAATCTTTGATACCCTTGTCGGTTTTCAGATCACCGATAGCCATTGCGATAAATTAAGTAAATAGAAGACAGCTTAAATGCTAACCGACAAGAGACTTATCCCTGTTATCCGCTCACCGGAAGAGAAAGCTCAAAAAGTTGACGGTTCGTTACTACTCTCTCACGGAGTGACGTAATTCCGGTTGATTCTGCTGTACAGGCTGGTACAGGCATGCATTATTCTCGGGAAATATGAAAATAACTGTATAATTTGAAATTGCGATCTTTTCATGAAAGAAACTTGTATACAAGTTATATATATTTATAAATATTCGTATAAAGAAGAAATTGATATAAAAATATTATAAGCACATTTATTTAAATGATTCTTCCGTATATAATTGAAACGTAGTTGAGGTTGCGAGAAACACTCTAATAATAATATAAGAAACGTTTCAAAAATTATTTATAGATGAAGATTGACGTTTATAATTATTTCTGATAGACAACGCACAATGATGTGTTCGGAAATTGACTGCTGTCATATATTGTTAAATACTGCTTGAAAACACATTGCATTTTTGACGAATCTTATTTTGGATCAACTCGTAGATCGTCCGCCCCGCCTTCACCACAGGCAGGGCAATCCTGGGCTTTTGGACTAATTTGAAAGGCGTAGGATAATTTGGTAACGTTTGCTAATTAAATTATTCCAATTGTATTAGAGTTACAGAATATCTTTATTATATGTATGTGAATAATACTATTTGCTGTTATACTTATTTAATGGATGCGAAGAAACATTATTGATCGATGTAGAATCAGGTTATAATAGTCGTTGCTGAATGTTTGAAACTGACATTCTCTTACATAACAGGATAACATTACTATTTAACAGAGTAAGTCAATCAAAATGTTGCGGCTACCCGTGGTAAGGTTGCCCACAGGATTGCAGAATGGTAGAATTTCAATTGTGGGTTTGCATACATCAGCCAAATTGCAACAGGAATTGGTGGAAGTATTTATAGATGACAAACCAGTCCAGGTTCCACCAGGGACAACAGTCCTACAGGTGATTTTATCTTTTAAACTTAAATATTCACTATTACCTATATTAATACATTATGATTTCATCAAAATGTTTTGTAATAGATTTATATATTGATGTGTATGTTTAGGCAGCTGCAAAAGTAGGAGTAGAGATCCCCAGGTTTTGTTACCATGAAAGATTAGCCGTAGCAGGCAATTGTAGAATGTGTCTGGTAGAAATTGAGAAACAAGTCAAGGTATTCAATATGTTCCATAGATAACACTCAAAAAGTTGACGGTTCGTTACTACTCTCTCACGGAGTGACGTAATTCCGGTTGATTCTGCTGTACAGGCTGGTACAGGCATGCATTATTCTCGGGAAATATGAAAATAACTGTATAATTTGAAATTGCGATCTTTTCATGAAAGAAACTTGTATACAAGTTATATATATTTATAAATATTCGTATAAAGAAGAAATTGATATAAAAATATTATAAGCACATTTATTTAAATGATTCTTCCGTATATAATTGAAACGTAGTTGAGGTTGCGAGAAACACTCTAATAATAATATAAGAAACGTTTCAAAAATTATTTATAGATGAAGATTGACGTTTATAATTATTTCTGATAGACAACGCACAATGATGTGTTCGGAAATTGACTGCTGTCATATATTGTTAAATACTGCTTGAAAACACATTGCATTTTTGACGAATCTTATTTTGGATCAACTCGTAGATCGTCCGCCCCGCCTTCACCACAGGCAGGGCAATCCTGGGCTTTTGGACTAATTTGAAAGGCGTAGGATAATTTGGTAACGTTTGCTAATTAAATTATTCCAATTGTATTAGAGTTACAGAATATCTTTATTATATGTATGTGAATAATACTATTTGCTGTTATACTTATTTAATGGATGCGAAGAAACATTATTGATCGATGTAGAATCAGGTTATAATAGTCGTTGCTGAATGTTTGAAACTGACATTCTCTTACATAACAGGATAACATTACTATTTAACAGAGTAAGTCAATCAAAATGTTGCGGCTACCCGTGGTAAGGTTGCCCACAGGATTGCAGAATGGTAGAATTTCAATTGTGGGTTTGCATACATCAGCCAAATTGCAACAGGAATTGGTGGAAGTATTTATAGATGACAAACCAGTCCAGGTTCCACCAGGGACAACAGTCCTACAGGTGATTTTATCTTTTAAACTTAAATATTCACTATTACCTATATTAATACATTATGATTTCATCAAAATGTTTTGTAATAGATTTATATATTGATGTGTATGTTTAGGCAGCTGCAAAAGTAGGAGTAGAGATCCCCAGGTTTTGTTACCATGAAAGATTAGCCGTAGCAGGCAATTGTAGAATGTGTCTGGTAGAAATTGAGAAACAAGTCAAGGTATTCAATATGTTCCATAGATAACATAGGGATAATACATGGACGAATGGATTCAAACAAAAATTTTGCCATTTAGCCTGTTGCAGCTTGTGCCATGCCTGTAATGAAAGGATGGAGGGTAAAAACCAATTCTGATTTAACTCGTAAAGCTCGGGAGGGTGTTATGGAATTTTTATTAGTGAACCATCCATTGGATTGTCCTATCTGTGATCAAGGTGGCGAATGTGATCTGCAAGATCAGAGTATGGCCTTCGGCAGCGATCGTAGCAGATTCGTGGATATTAATTACACTGGTAAAAGAGCAGTGGAGGATAAGGATATTGGTCCTCTAGTAAAAACCGTTATGACGCGTTGTATTCATTGCACGAGGTGCATTCGTTTTGCGTCGGAAGTTGCTGGTATAGATGATTTGGGTACTACAGGTCGTGGAAATGATATGCAAGTACGTTTAAGCGACTTGATTGTTATTCTGCTTTATATTCTGATTGTAATTCTTTAAATCATTATTTTAGGTAGGAACATATGTGGAAAAGATGTTTTTGTCCGAGTTATCTGGCAACATCATCGATTTGTGTCCTGTTGGTGCATTGACAAGCAAACCGTATGCCTTTGTTGCCCGGCCTTGGGAGACTCGTCGTACAGACAGCATCGATGTCCTCGACGCTGTTGGCAGTAACATTGTAGTATCACACAGAACGGGTGAAGTCCTAAGAATCTTACCAAGAGTGAATGAGGTACTATATTTAATACGATTATTTCATGGTTTATGAATAGTAATGATTTAATACTGTAACACTAGGAAATAAACGAAGAGTGGCTCTCAGACAAAGGACGTTTCTCGTACGATGGACTGAAGCGCCAAAGGCTTATAACTCCGATGATGAAAATCAATGGAAAACTGGAAGCTGTCGAATGGGAGGATGCCCTTGTAGCAGGTACGTGGCATCTGTTTATATAATAATAATGATAATTCTTTTGTATTATTGATATCCACTTTGTTAGCTGCCCGAGCTGTTCAGAATATACCACAGAACAAATGCGCTGCGATCGCTGGGAAATTAGCCGACGCTGAATCTCTCGTAGCTCTGAAAGATTTAGTAAACAGGCTCGGCGGTGAAACACTGGCGACGGAACAGACCTATCCGAAAGAAGGTGCTGGTATCGATTTAAGGAGCAATTACATATTAAATAACACGATTGCTGCGGTGGAGGACGCAGATGTTGTACTGTTGATCGGTACTAATCCAAGGTACGAAGCGCCGTTGGTAAACACCCGTTTAAGGAAAGGGTACCTTCATGGTGAACAGACCATCGCACTAATCGGTCCAGATGTAGATTTAACGTATGAACACGAGGTAAATTAAAACATTTTATAATCCACTGGAATGAATAAAAATCAACTGTCTCATGTTATTTAAATTACATTAGCACTTGGGCGACACTGCAGACATTATACCACAATTAAGAAACAGTTCTCATCCGTTCTCGAACACTTTGAAATCCGCGAAAAAGCCGTTAATTATCTTGGGCGTTGAACAGTTGACCAGAAAGGACGGGGCTAAGATTTTGTCTGAGGCGCAATTGCTGGCAAAGTCTTTGGGAGGAAAATCGACGGTGAGAAAAAGCTAGTAATAGAATTATATCGTGTTGCTACTATTAAGTCTAACAAACATCGGATATGTGCTTTTTCTAGGCTCCCGAAGGATGGAAGATATTAAATATTCTTCATACAAATGCGTCACAAGTAGCAGCTTTGGATGTTGGCTATTCGGCCACGATTGACGATGTAAAAACGCAACAGCCGAAAGTTCTCTTCTTATTGGGAGCTGATGATACTAACATCAAGAAGGATGATTTCCCGAACACTTGCATCATATACATAGGTACTTAAACTGTTACTGTACGAGAATTGAACATGAATAATCACTTATTGTTTTAACGTTTCAGGTAGTCACGGCGACGAGGGAGCTTCGATCGCAGATATCATACTTCCCGGAGCTGCGTACACCGAAAAAGTCGCGACATATGTAAACACAGAAGGCCGCGCGCAACAAACTTGTGCCGCAATTACACCTCCAGGTTTGGCTCGACCGGACTGGAAGATTATACGGGCACTTTCCGAGGTAATTAAATTAACCGGAGCGAGGATTCAATTTGAAAATTAACAGATAATTGATTAAATCTGCACACCAGATTTGCGGAGTTCGTTTGCCGTATGACGACTTAGGGGACTTGAGAGCCAGACTGGAAGAAATTGCCCCGCATTTAGTTAGGTACGGCAACATAGAACCGGCGAATTACTGTACTCAGGCGTTGGAATTATCAAAGGTAATCATCGCATGACGCGATTAAATAATAGAAAAAGAAATCATATCGACTTACCTGTTTCTTTGCAGGGTGTGGGCGGCACCTTGTCTTCGAGTCCATTAGAAGTCAAGCAGAAGACGTTGGATCAGTTTTTCATGACCGACGCTATTTCTCGCGCTTCTCAAACTATGGCAAAATGCGTACAAGCAGTCATTAAGCAACGAGAAAGTGCAGTATAGATGTTCCGATCATGTTTTATGTAAATAGAAAAATCTACGATGGTAGATACGTAATAGCACGTGAAGGTGCATAGGAATTACGTTACTTTTATTAAATATATGTAAGTATTATTTAATTAAAAAATGATACATAGTAAATTATATGTACCTTCTGTAATGTAATGCAATAATGCGGTACCTTATAACGACCTTGTTAAGAATGGAGAAGGAGAGAGGAGGGTGATATATACGTAGATGAAACAATAGTCTTTTCATTGCCATTACACTGCTATAATAAAACTCGATTTTAGACATGACACGAACTAATCGTTACGATCGATAGAGTTTGTAGATTCCGGTTGATCATCCGTATCAAGTTCAACAGAACTTTCATCCGTTTCAACCTGAAATAAGCAATTAGTAAAATCATAACTTCGCTTGAATAATTTTAGAACACGCCGCAACCGACTTATGCACATACTTTTTCACCTAACGCAACTAATTTTTCTCTGTAAAGCATTATTTTACTGTCCTGTTCTGTTAAAAGCTCCAAAAGGTCTTCTTGATCTTTCTTCAATTTTTCAAGTTCCTCAGACTTCTCCTTTAATTTACGATTAAAATTACTCTCGTAATCTTTCATCATCGACGCATACTCCGATAAACGATTTTCTAACTCTGTGATCACAGTTTTATATTTCTCAGTTTCCTTCGTGCAGTCGTCGCTACTGGTTGCGTTACTAGTCATGATTTCCTCTGATTGCAAACTGGTTTGCGCTGCTCGTAAGACTAAATTCTGATCCTTCAAATGGCTAACAGTTAACCGAAGATCATTTACCTGTGCCTGTAGTAAACGATCATTGATTAATAGATCATGTCGTTACAAAAATTGATCATTTTTTTAAGCACATTCTGTACCGTACTTCGAGTTCGTGTTTTTCCTTGAGGAGTGATTCTGTAAGCTGATTAAGTTTCTGTACTTGAGAGTCTTGCTCTCGAATAACATCTTTATATTGAGCTACTAGGACAGATTCAGGTAATATGGGCGTCGCGATCTGACTTTGACGACTACTTCCATCTAGAATCGATTTGATAATCACACCTAACGAAGCAAAAAATGCGATACAAATTAATAAATTAAAACATCTCGAATCTGTAATGATGTAATTACCCTCTAACGTTTTCGCTAATCTGCAAAATTCATGATCTAATAGAAGTTCTGAAGTATTCTTCGCCGAAGGTTGAGGATGTTTCAAGGTTCTAGAATACACTTCGTGTTTCGCTAATCCACCGATAGCATCCTGGAATCTTTCTAAACCTATTCTATTCTCGATTAAATTACACAGCTTTTCCTAAAGAATTTGTAGTACAGCGTTAGCGTAGTCTCCAATACGTATCTCATTTCATAATTGAATACTACCTTTGAATAATTCGAAACGGTATTATCGTTAAAATGTACGCACAACCCAATGAGCATAGCGCACATACTTTGTAACAAGGTTTCTTGCAAGTCGTCGTTGTTCTCCTGCGACGATAACAAAGCAGTTAAATAAGCTATCGATGAATCGATGAGCAGAAATGATTTAACAGCGGCTGTGCAGTGAGCGGTCCATCTACAGAGCAGCATCAGGAGACCCAGTTTGCATTGCACTTTATTTCCTTGTTGTAGTAACATGACGCATTGTTGCATTAAAGTTACTGGTGGTTTTCCAATATTCGTTGCGAGGAGTACACGCAACAATTGTTCCTTCTGTGCGTTATCGTCGATCAATGCATAAGATAGGGCCACAGCCGAAAACCAGTTCGATAGAGAATCCGAAGAAAATAAACCTCCACATAACAACTGTCCTAGCAATATTACGTTCGTAAAATGTTTTTCTATTTCTTTCATAAATCTTAAGGTAGAAACAAAATAAGGACAGTCGTAGGAAATAATACTTTTTTTAACAAACCTGTTGTCAATGAAGGCATTTCGTTCCCTTGAGGCAACAGAGTCTGAATCAGCTGACTTTGTCCCACTTCATTTTTATACAAAAAGCATTGAAAGCAATAAAGAACGGAGCATCGTAAAGCGAACGGTTGCTTTTCGTTTACCATAGACATGAGTAACACAACAATCGCAGGCCTGAAATAGCAAATATAAAGTACGTGATCACTACCTATGATCGAATATGAAATTAAATGCACACTACGATATTCTAATACCTCGGAGGGCTGCTCGGTGCCATTACTCCAGCCAGAAATTCTTGATTGTTGATATTTCCTCGGATAACTTCAGCCACTGTATTAATGGTCTCTGTTAACACGTCTGCGGGTACACCGCTGGCCATCAGTATGTTGCACAGAGCTTGTAAGAGCCCGCAGGCTCTCATGATTTGTTGACAATTGGCCACTGACTTCAAATATACATGAGAATTAGCTGGCATTTTAAGGCAGAATGAATGAGAAGTTCTTAATTACCTGAGCAGATCCACTCGGCGCTACCAACGCACGTATCACTTTGACCATACAGTGAACATTCGACACCTTCTGTGGACTCCACGCAGTCAAGGGATTATCGTCGATTTCAGATGGTAATTGGAACATGGGCGTCAATTTTTGTATGTAACTACCTAAATAATATAAGATAGTATTCATACCTGATACAGTGAAACGCAATGTTTGGTTGTACATACCTTCTTTAAAAAAGTTCTGATTGCTTACGTTACCACGTAGAAGATTTAACATGAGTAGCAAACAATCTTCCACAACGATTCCACCTTCTGCGTTCCCTTCCTGCTCGATAACATCGAAAATACGGTCGAACGCATTCTCAAATGCAACAATTTTTTGAATATTCGCATTAGCCTTTGTCAGTTGTATGAGTAGTAGCAAAACCTATGCAAAATCCAATCGTCAATTTCTATGTAAAAGAAGCTGGAAGAAGACGATTGAACTTAGGAACATACATCATTACGTATAACTTCTCTGCTGTCACCAAGGAGATCCATTAATTTAGAGACCCCCATGGGGCTGACTAAAATTATTTCTTGTATGTCCTTCAGTCTATTAGTTGTCAAATGCATGAGTAACCTTAATGCTGGCCATCTGACTTTGAACTCAAATTCCTCTAAAAGAGCTAATACTAATCCCACATTATCTGCATTTTTAATAAATATCTCTGTGAATTGTTCTCCTATTTTATGATCTGGCCCATGCTTATCCACTGCAATAAATTAGAGCACAATGAAATTCATTGTCTTTCAGTAATAGAATTATAAATGAACAATTAGTATCTACCTTCTTCATCGAACGCTTTAGGATTTGTTATATTGCAGAGAGTGTCTAGAGCTAAACCGATGATTTCACAATCAGTTTTGTCCATCTCTAGAACTTGTCTCAATGCATCCATTCCTCGGGCACCTACCTCGACGCGATAAGTGCGTGAAAGGGCTTTGAGTGCTCTACAGGCATCTCGTCTATCGCTTAATAACGTTGACGATTGTAACCTGTCTACCAGTCGTTCTACCTGTGTGATTATTCCAGTGAAAAAGATGAATGATACAAAACAAGAAGTGAAAGAACGTAAAGAATGAGACTGACGAAATGCAAGCGTGTACCTAAATATTCGAGTTTGTTTCAACTAAGTACATACACAACTGGCTTAGTTTGCGTCAAATGTCAAACAAAACCGTACTACCATCTGTTTTAAGATAAGTGAGAAATGGGGATGTAATGATTTAAGAATTCGTATTACCGTGTCGGCGCCTGATGGTTCGTCCTCCGTAGGTGCAGAGCCTAAAACGGATTTCAAGCTACTTTTAAAATATTCCATTTCGCTTGTAACTTAAAAACTGCAAGCTACACGTCATATACGATAATATTGCTGGACATTCACGGACATTCCTCGTTGGTTTGATTGAAGATTGAACGATTGAAGTTGCTACTGTTGCTAGTCGCTATCAGCAGAGAGGAACTGAGAGTGCTCACGGCCCAGGTTTCGGTGTCCCCAATTCGATGGTGCTGCCAAAGCTAAATTTTGCAGGAATCTGACACGTTCAGTTCAACGTTTAGCATTTACCAGAACCAACGAACAGAGACCTGCCCTGTTCAGTTCAACGTTAGCATTTACCAAAACCAATGAACAGAGATCTGCCCTGTCCGGTTCAACGTTTAGCGTTTACAAGAACCAACTGAATAGAGATCTGCCCTATCCAGTTCAACGTTTAACATGTACTTAGAATAGAACGAAAGAATCATTTCAACGCTAGAAAATACGTAATGAAGACGTTTGCAAGCGTATTGTTAATAATTATCAGTATTTCTTAGGAGAATGTTTATATAAGTGAGCTTCGAATTTAATGAGAAACGGGGTTATGGAAATAAAGACTGGATTTAATTCTCTTCAAATTAAGAGAGAAAGAAATTTATTACGACCTGAAAGACGCTCCTCCCGTTCCCTGTATCCAGAAATTTATATTACTTTATATGTCATCATATTAGGA